AAAAAAACTTTGAAAGAACGGCAGGTGCAGCTAAACCCGTTGGAAAGGGCTCACGTAGACCCATCAGTGATGATTTTTTATTTTTTTGAGTAAATTCAAGTCCATTACACGGGGAAGTAGGGGAGGGGGGACTCGAACGCTAGACCTTTACCCTATTGGTAAATGCTAGGTACCAACTCTCCTAATGAGTGTTGGTTAATAGTAGTGTTGATATTAATGTTAGTATTAGACTATTAGTATTAATCATGGTATTAATATTAGGATTAATATTAATATTTGTATTATTAGTGTTGATTTTAGTATTAATATTAGTATTTGTATTAGTATTATCAATGTTGGTTTTAGTATTAGTAGTAGTAGTTGTTGTTAGTGTAATATTAGTGTCAATATTAGGGTGGCATAGGCAATTGTACGCTGCAATGTCCAGAGTTAAAAGTAGATTTGAGATAAAGATATCTATCAATTCAGAATCGGGCGATATAACTAACTTTACGAGCAATGTTGTGTTCACAAAAAGATTTTCAGCGAATTTGAATCACAAACAAATGTATATTTTGATTCAATAAAACATTTTTTTTTTGGTATTATTTACATGTATGTCAATTGTTCAAAGTTTTCGTTCGTTTAATTTTATCCAAAATAATTTAAAAAAAAAAAATTGATCCCGTGCATCGCACGGGTGAATTACTAGTTTATATATAGCATTAATAGAGTATTCTAGAAATGTATTCCCAATACTAGGATTAAATTGGCACTCACAATTTATTTTGAAAGATGGAGGTTGCACTCTTCATTTAGACCCTATAAAAAGGAAACAAGTTTGGTAAAATAATTTACGGAATTAACTTGAAGAAAAAAATTAATTTATTCAAAAGCAACTAGTTTACAATTAAGATTTGGTTTGTTATCACTATTATTCTATGCTTATGATTGGTAAACTCTCGTTATAGTAAGATTTATTATCAATTTCATAGCAAATTCTCGGTATATTGAATTTGGATGTACTAATAGACGATAAATATATGAATCGTGAAACTAGCGCTTAAACAAAATGTGTTCAACTAATATTTGTCGCATATATGAAAAGCAATTTTATAAATGAAAATATTATTGTCGAGAAAGAAAAAATCTTTAAATGTGGAGCGAGTGCAAGAAAAGACAATCTCTGGCTTCTTCTGGCAACAAGCGGTCCAGTTTGCAATGTTAAACTTCATCTTTTCCGACACAATGAGCCAAGAACATGAGGCAATTTATTTAATATAGGGATATGAGGTCCAGTTTGCAATGTCAAACTTCATCTTTTTTGACACAGTGATCCAAGAACATGAGGCAATTTATTTAATATAGGGATATGAGCTAATGTTTTGGTTATGAGCATGTACTTTGTACCATATGTTGCTCTTAACTAGGGTTTTCACGTCGAGTGGGGCTTCAGAAATTCTTTGAAATGTAATAAATACATACGTTATGCGCCGGGACTATAAACTGACCTCTTGTTTTGTTTGGGCCGGGCTTACTACCATGGGTCAAAAGGAATGATATTTGTTTATTTATACATATGAGTTTTATATTTTATGAATATTGAAAGATCAATTCTAAATAAATAAATACTGAGGAAAGAAAATTGCTCTACCAAGAGAATAGTCACTCAGCTAGAAGTACTACTCACTATAAAATGATATAAAAAAGATTTAGGTGGTGTTTGAAGCTTTTTTAAAGTGATTATGAGCTTTTTTTGCTCATAATTTGTTTTCAAGTGTTTGCAAATTCAGCTTTTACTTTTGTTTCTCTTAAAATAATCTGCTTTAAGCTATTTTTTTAAAAACACCCATAACCTGCTTTTTCTATTTAAGTTCATTTTCCGGAATATTTGCAAACTCCCCCAACTTTTAGAAATAAGCACTTAAAACTGACTTAACTCACAATCACTAACTTCTGCTTTTAAATAAGGGTAAATTACACCCACACCCCTGAGGTATGCTTGAATAACTGTAAGGTCCCTGTGGTATCGATAATGACACTCACCCCATGAAAGGTAGTTAGAAACGCTAACGGGATAATGCATTGGATACATTATTCCGATAGGGTTCTAATGGACTATTACTTTTAGCTAGTTATGGAGATAACATAGAGTTATGGGGAGTTATGGGGTGACATGGCTCCCCCAATATTTCTTAAATCACTCATAACTCTTTGTTGTATTCACCACTTCCTAAACCAATAGTCCGTTAGAACTCTATCGTAATAACGTATCCAATGCATTATCCCGTTAGAGTTTTTAACTACCTTTCAGGGGGTGAGTGTAATTATCGTTACCACATGGACCTTACAGTTATTTAAGCATACCTCAGGGTTGTGGGTGTAATTTACCCTTTAAATAATCATTTGCAAACACCACCATAGTGGAAGTGGTTATGGAGGCAGTTACAGTAGAGTGTGGTTATGGCGATAGGGGAGGCAACGACGGCGGCTATGAGGTTGTGGGTATATTTGGGGTCGCGGCTACGGTGGATGGGTGGATGGTGATTATGGCGATAGGGATTGCGATGGCTATGGTGGTGGTGACGGATATCGTGGCAGTGGTTGCACGTCTATGTTTTCATTTCTAAAAAAGTGATGATAACTGTGACTAACTATCAGTGACTAACTATCAGACTATGGATTACTGTGAGTGTCTACGGCTGACTGGCTAGGATTCGAAGAGGGAGTTAAGATTTTAAATCGTATGAGTACGATTGAGTATAGATGATTACGGATTACTACATGTTTCTACGAGTGGTTATAGAGTATTAGTCTATTACTATCGAAAATAATAGTAACAAACTAGATAAGTCAATAATCACAAATTAATTTGATAGGTTCCATGATTTTGTGATATAATATATTAA